AATAAACGTGCTTTTTTTCCTTTTTCTTTTCGTTCAAAACTTTGTGTGTGGGTCACAACACACACATCTTCTGTCTGTCTTTTTTTTCCCTTTTAATATACTATGTGTGGGTCTCCACATTGTGCTTGTTGCAGGCAACCCCCACAACATTCAATCCGCTCCCGATCTAACATGGTGGACTACTCATTCCCTTAAAATTGTGCCGCTCTGCACACTAGTTCTACTTCTTCCTTCGGAACGACCTTGTTAATAATCCGCAGCATTCTGTTTGTTAGTGATATCTGCAGCATTTCTATCTGTGTGGATTTTTCACTACTGGAACTGTTTCTCTTCAATGGCAAATCTAAGCCAATGATATCTTACATCAATGTGCTTTGTCCGTGCATGATACATAGTCCTTTTGCTCAAGTTTAACGCACTTTGATTATCACAATAAACTATATATTCTTCTTGCTGCACACTCAATTCTTGAAAGAATCGCTTTAACCAAAACATTTCCTTTCCTGCTTCCGTAGCTGCAATGTACTCTGTTTCGGTAGTTGATAATGAAAAATATTTTTATAATCTTGATTGCCATGAAATAGCTTCGCCTGAGAATGTAAATAGGTATCCTGATGTAGATTTTCTTTCATCAAAATCACCGGCCATATCTGCATCTGTGTAACCAACAAGTGCAGGCTTTTCACCTCGCATCTGTGTAACCAACAAGTGCAAACTTTTCACCTCCAAAAGTTAAACATAAGTTTGAAGTTCCTCTCAGGTATCTGAAAATCCACTTTACTGCTTCTCAATGTGTCTTCTGGGGATTTGACAGAAATCGGCTCACAACGCCAACTACATGAGTGATATCTGGTCTTGTACACACCATTGCGTACATCAAACTTTCGACTGCTGAAGAATATGGAACATTTGACATATCTCCTTTTTCTTTCTCTATTGATGTTAGGTATTTCTTACTCAACTTAGTGAGTCGCAAAGCTAGAGTGCTAATAGCTTGGTTAGCACCTTCCTTGCATTATTGAACCTCTCTAGAACTCATTTCAATATATTTTTCCTGTGATAACCATTAACCTTGCAAGGACCTTCCTGTCTCGAATAATCTCCATTTCGAGAATCGCCTTTGCCTGGATCCCAAATCTTTCATGTCAAATGCTTTGACTAATCCACTCTTTAACCTGCTATCATGTGGCATCTGGTTTCCAACGTATTAGCATATTCATCAACATTATAAGATTAAGGATTGATAAATTTTACCAATCAGGAATTTTCTGACATATACACAAGGGGATCTGCTCTGTCCTTTTGTATCCTTGATTCACCATGAAAGAATTCAAACTTTTTATACCATTGTCGCCGGTGCTTGTTTCAACCCGTACAAGCTCTTTTCAAAGCCGACAAACCATGGTACCTCTTTCGGCCTTCAACCTGTCGAAATCTTCTTGGGTCCAATGGATTTTCTTCGTTCTAGATCCCCATGTGGCAAAATTATGCGAATAAGGGGTTCTTTAGCATACAAGTCTGGTACTAACTCAAGATCAAACTTGGCTTACTAGATTCCTAGCACTATCTCGAATTAGAACTCATTTTTCATAAAACTGGTTGAAAGAAATCTCAACAAAGTCAAATACCTTTTCTTTTGAGTAAAAGCCCTTTGCACTGGACCAATTCGAGCTTTGTTTATCTCACTAGGTTGCCTTCATTCTTTTCTTCAGTTTTTGCACTCCATTTTGTTCTTGAGTGTTCTCTTCCCTTTTGAAGTTTTCACAGCTTACATATGTGTCATTTCTTTTTCAAAGGAATTCATCTCTCTTGCATGGCCTTTCTCCAGCAATCTCTGTCTTCTGCAAGATTGCACATCTGGGAAGCTTTCTCTGGCTTCTCCCCCAATCAATACTATCAAAAATGTAATCGAACTTACGGTACCTTGTTAGCATTTGGTTGCTGTTCTCTTTGTTTGACCTTCTTAACTGAGGTTCAACTGCTCTGTGTGGAATGGGGTTCTCTGGTCCCCCTGCTGCTCAAAACACCCCTACATCACTGTATATCTACAATTGTTTTCTTGATCCCCTAACGAACTGGCTCTTCTTGGACTCCAGAGAACCATTTTGGGAGGATCTTTTTTCATTTCTCCACATGAGGTTGTACAGGCTGGTGCATCTATCCATTGATTATTGTACCCTAAGGTTTCTGCGTTTTTTTAATTTTCTTCCCACTTACCTTCTTCTTTAATTTCTTCCGGGCTTTGCAACTGTTCTAACCTTTTCAATTGGCATCGTTAAGATCTTTAGCAATTGAGGGGAGGTGCTAGGGGGGGTCCCATTTCCCCTCGATTTTTTTTTTTCCTTGGAACGAGTTCCACATTGTAATTAATTCGAATCTTGTCAATTTGATCATTGCCTCCGCGTAGGCCATCGTCGAATTTCTAAATCTTGCACAAAAATTTACTATTCCAACGAAATTTACTATTCATCGTGGTGATTAGTAACTTTGAGAAAATTTGACAGATATTTACCAACCAAAGCCTCAATACCAGTTGTTTGGGATCTATAAGCTTATCCCGAGTAGGCCCGCGAAAAATACTAATATTCATGGTTAGGTAAATTAAAATTACTATTACCACAATATACCTAACCCACCACTAATTACAGTATTCTGAATATTGACGATATCCGAATACCTTACCAGAAATAATAATCACGGTAAAAATAAACTAATTACCGTAAAATGCCAGATGAAAAAATTAAGAACACCGAGTAATTTACGTTGTGTTCACTCTTCAACTGTTATAGGTGGCTACGTCCACATGGACTAAAAACTTCCGGAATAATTTCTTTCTACTTTAAAAATAGTTAGGTACAAAAGAAGCATTACAAAAATTAGTTGGCACTCATAAGTGTTTTCCCAAAACTACCCCAGAATATTAACAATCCTCACTATTTTCTCTCTTTTTAAACCCAATTTTTAGAAACCCCTTTTGGCTTAAAAAAAATTTTCTCACCTAATATGTATATTCTTGCCTTCTATGTTTTTTTGTTCAGGCTCTTAATGTAAGGAAAACCTTCTTCCTTTTTTATAGGAGAATGGGTGACGCGTGGTGGACGCGTTAATTCACGCGTTTCCACTTTTGCTCCCTATATCTATACTTTCTTTCTATTGTTTGGGCACCGTCCTTGGAATACCCTTAATGAAGGAAAACCTTCTCCTTTTTATAGGAGAAGGTGACGCGGTGGACGCGTTAATCACGCGTCCACTTTTCCCTTTTTTTCTTTCTTTCTTTGTTTGGCACCGTCCTTTGAATAACAAAATAAACGTGCTTTTTTTCTTTTCTTCGTTCAAACTTTGTGTGTGGGTCCACAACACCACACGTCTTCTTCTTCTTCTTTTTTTTCTTTCAAACTTGTGTGGGTCCCACATGTTGGAGGGACCCCACAACACCAAGAGCCACAGGCAAGCTGCTGCTTAGTAATTCCAGGCATCAAAAACAGTTTTCAGCAATGCCAATCCGAACGCCTAATCAGTCCACAGAAGAAACAAAAAGCAGACAGCCTCTCATATTTGAATGTGATCCAATGCCAATCCCCCTTAATCTTCTTAATTTTCATCCCTTGTTTCAGCGGCCTTCACACATCCATTCGAACTCGAATTCGCATGTACTCCCTCCATATCCAGGAGAAATTTTTAGGATCCGCCATTAGAAACTCTCCCACATAATTCCCAATATCTCGAGCGATTCGTTCCATCATGAATCCAAGTGGAGATCATGAACCTGAATCCAGATGTCCACTGTAGTGAGCTCAACTCTCTTTGGGTTCTCCCCCCGTTCCACCACTTTCATAAGAATGAGATTTTGAGCAAAGTTCCAAGGTCCTCCGTTCACAACACGATCTTTATCTATCAGATGGAAGAACTGGAATAAGAAAGCATTATTACAAAGTTCCTTAACCGTCAAACCTATAATACTAGTCGCCAAATCTGAGTCATGGTATCCTTAAAAACACAAGTATTAATTGGCTTATCCATTAACAATTGGCCAACAACATACCAATTCATTGGAAACATGATAATTAGGGAATTTTTAATTGATTATTAATTTTGACTTCTATGTTTTTAATTCATTGGAGGCCCAATTAGCCAAAATAACAGTTCATGCTATACAATAGAGGTAATCCTCTCATTTTACTTACTAAATTAGTGAAAACAACTGTAGTTGAGAAGACTCAAACTCGAAACAAATTCTTGATCTCAACACAAATTCTTGCTCCAACATTATAAAAATTATAAAAATGTAGACAATAACATATAAGAGGTAAATATTAAACAATACTTCATATTATACCAAAATAATTATTGAATATAAACAATGAGTAAATAACTACTCGACAAAGCTTCAAAAAAAAAAAAAAAAATTGTAACGCCCCCCACCACCCAAATAATTTTGAATATAAACAATGAGTAAATAACTACTCGACACAGCTTCAAAAAACCACCAACAAACAAATTAGTATATACAAATGCAAACAACATAATTTGATGTATACTACAACACAAAAAGAAAAGAATTACTTTTTGAAAAAAAAAAAAAAAAAAAATTGTATTACAAATGCAACAACATATTTGATGTATCTAAAAAAACAAAAAGAAAAGAATTATTTTTGATAAATAAGAAAAGAATTATTTGAAATCCATATAAAAGGGGAAAAGAAACGGGAAGGAAAAACCATTCTCTTTTTATATTTCATTTGTGTTAATTTAAACTAATAAATGCTTTATTCGAAAAAAAATATTAATATTTAATTTGAGCATTTTTAAAAGTGTTTTAGTATTTATCAATCCTATATATATTTTCAACTATATTTATAAAATTTATTTAAAAATATTATTGTATAAAAATATGGTTGAACCGTATTGAACATAGTCAAATCTCATTATCAATGAACTCTTACGTTCAATGTCTGCACACTGCACCCATTCTCAAAACATCACAAGATTAAGAAAATTAATTAGCTAAATAATTATGTTTAACTTTTAAAAATAGCTCCTCAAACAGGTCCATCATTCAATGAAGATAAGGTTTTAGTTTAAGTTTGATAATTAGAAAATAAAAGACTAATTAATTCAATTGGAGCAATTCAAAGCAATCTTGATTTTCTGAACAGTGGAGCTGATAAGAGTATTAACCTTCGCCACTGATTCCATGTTCATCTCGGTGGGGGTGGAGGAGGAGGCGGAGCTGGTCAAAGGATTAGAACCCAAGATTTGGAAGGCTATGGTAACAAGTGAACCACCACCACCACCAGCACTTGTTGAAGCACGACTATTGTCCGGCCGGCCGTCTTCAGATATAACAAAACCAGAAGGAAGAATTGGTATTATCAACGAGTCTTCAGAGGTCATTGCTATGTTGAGGGATGTAATGTCGATTGGAGCATATACTACCAATGACCCTAAAGCGTCTGTGCAGCTTTCTTGAAGCAGAAGCATATTGTTGTCGTTTGATGCAAATGGCTGCTTCATAAAAAAAAAAAAATTATATCAAACAAAAGCTGAAAATTAACTACCACTAGACCCTATTCAACTAGCATAATAAGAACGCGTGGAGTGAAAAAACAACCAGAAGAAAGAATATGGAATTACCCGGATAATGGATATGCAATTCCCTGGATGAGTACCAATAGGGATGTGTGCAATTTCATGAACTGGGTTTGCAGTGGAGAGGATGTCCCACTGTTAAGACAATGGAAAGGAAATACGATATATTAGCTACATTGCTATAAAATTGTACTATTGTTTAACACCAGGTGGTGTGATCCCCTCGGGACATAAAGTATAAAGGATTGAGGTCTAGGAGGTGTAATCATCTTAAGGCCATAAAGCGTAAAGAATTGAAATCCGTACTACCTCAGCCAATACTTTTTTGGTTCTATAATATTAATAATAATGTATATATAAAATTTTTCGAAGGGGAAGATAAGATAGCAGAGATCGTTTCTCCCCTAATCAGAAATATCGAGTTTGAACCTTGAGTATGAAGTCTCTTTAAACATTCGGAAAAAAGCATTTTGCCTCCTTTGTGCCTAGCGTGAATCCGGATTAGTCGGGCCACGATAACGGATGGTAAAAACTTCATAATTAACTATATCACTTAAATGCCAAACATATTAAAAGAGTGTGTTTAACCCTAGTATTAAAACCAAAAAAAGAAAAAGAAAATGCATATATAAAGAGTGTGTTTAACCCTAGTATTAGAACTGCAACTCACAAAGATATAATCTTGAATATATTAATTAAATAGAAGTCATTAAAAGTTATTTCTAAAATTAATTTAACATATTTTAGTAGAACAAACTTCATAATTAACTAAATTACTTAAATGCCAAACATACTAAAAGAGACTGAATCTATTGATGTACCTGAACTCTTGTTTTCTCATCTTTGAAGAAATTGAAAACAGTCTCAGGAGGGAGAGGAAGCCGAAGAGAAGTAGCAGCGCTGATAATCATTCCAAAATGCTGGCCTGGTCCTCCGCTCCGACGAACCGATACACGAACCCCACTATTGTTCACTTCAGACAATTGAGGAAAATCTAGCTTACCTGACATGCTTAACATTGCACAGAAGTCCTTGATCATCCTATGAGATAGTTTCATCATGCGCCTTCTAGCTTCAGATGAAGTAATCACTGAACAATAGCCAAACATATAAATGAATTAAGAAATGGAATTGAAAATGGAATGTAATTCTTGAAAAATGGTTCCATTTATTTTTTTTTTCTTTGCTCATTTTTTAGTATTCCACATAACTCATTGAAGGCAGAAATAAGATAGAAACCACAAACCTACCACACCCAGGAGACATGTATGGTATGATCAGAACCATAGAATAAGACCCTAATCAAAATACATACATTTGTCTCATACACTACGGGGATAGCCAGAAGAGATAAGTTTTACATCCCAGAGGGGCTATAGTAGGAGATACTATTATTTCTGGTATAGAAATTCCCATAAAAATGCGAAATGATTTACCTTTAAATGCAGTTTGAACAATTGATTTATGTAATTAAAAGTAAGCAACTAGGTTTACAACGAAATCTAAAAATCGATTACTGTTCTAATTTGAGTACCACTACATGATGGACCTCAACAGAACATTGAAGAGTTTAATATTTCCTCGTAGAAAATTATTCACTCTAGAGATATAATAATATAGAGAAGATAAAATTATTTCAAGAACTGACAGAATCAGAAGCTGCTAATTGGTGATAGATCCATAGTTATATGTACCTCCAACAAGTTATGGTTATCCATTTTATTCCTTTTCGAGGTGAACCAAACATAAACTATAAGGAAAAAAAAAAAAAGAAATTGATAGGAAAAGATTTTAGTTACCTCCTCCAAGTTCACGAGGAGGGGCAATTTCCCCAGAAGTGAAAGCAAATCTTTCACACATCCTTTGGAGGGTGACAATCCATCTTGCAGCTCCATATGCAGAATTACCACATATGAGATCTCTGTATAGTCTATGAGTTTGAGTTTTGTCATCTACTTCCACATGTTCCACCCAAGTAACCTGCCATATATATGAATATATAAATATTAATCATCAGTAAAATCACACTCAACATCATCATCATATATTATTTCAGGTTGCATTTTATGCAAAAATTTGCTAGCATTGACTTGCATAGATCTGATCTATGCATTGAGGGGAAAAAAAAAAAGATAAAGTTGAAACAATATCTAAAATGTTATAAATTAATAGAAGAATAGAGAGAAAAGTAGAGACACATTAGAGAGGAAAATATAAAAGCATCACATATATAAAACACAAGTACCCTAATAAGGGAAATAGACAATAGACTTTTATACAAAGTAGGAAGATGGATTTCTCACTAATTAGGAATATAGATCTCATTTGTTTGCTTCATGAGTAGATCCATAAACCGAGTTTAGGCAAGTAAAATCCATGATTTGTTTTAGCAAATATATCTATAGTTTTGAATTTTCAGTAGAACTACATGTTGGATTACTGTTCATGTATATTGCAGAGATGTTACTTACGTTGGAACATCCATTAGGCATTTCTTGTATCATGCATCCAGAAGGAAGTCTCCAGGAGCGAGAAAGGTAGATGTTTTCTTTCCAGAAATCATAGGAAACATCAACAATAACCCATGTTCCAGGCTCAATTTGTTGACAATGGCGAAGGAAGCAGAATTCCCTTGGTGGAACTAGAGGTGAAAGTATATGCATTTGCTCGTACATCTGCATTTCGCTTCATTATATAATCCGATACTTTCATAATAATAAAAAAAAGTGAATGTATGTATGCATATATAGATATATACCAACTGTAAGCAACCACTTCGATTTCCTACCGCTCCAGTTTCAACTACTTGAATTATGTTAGCTTTAGTAACAATGGTTGGAAATAAATCCACCCATTGGTTCTGCAAAATTGAAATATAATTAGCAAACAACTTAATTGTTTGATGGCATTTAATAAAGGAAGAATACTAATTTATTCAATTACTAACCGAATCTAAGAACATTTCTACCAAATTTGCTCCGTTCATTGTCACCATTCCTGTGTACTTAGATGACTCGAATCGCGCATTAGTGCTTTTGAAGTGATTAGTCTTAGGAAATGTCTTGTGGTAGTTCTCGCGATTAATGACATAGCTCCGGTCAGATTCAGTGGTGATCCAGAAGGGTTCGTCGATTCGTAGAAGTTTCACCAACTCTTCAAGAGCATTAGTTGCTAATTCAGACATTAGTGACTTTTCTATGTCTGAAATTGGTTTAAGTTGGTAGGGGATTGGAAGATGATCAGAAAGTACTGGATTAAGCTCAAGATCAAGGGCAGGATTAATTCCTAGTCTTTGATTAGGATAATCTCCTGCTAAAATGTCCAATGAAGATCCAGGCATTGGAGGAATCAATGAAGATCCAGGCATTGGAGGAATCAATGAAGATCCAGGCATTGGAGGAATCAATGAAGTTCCAGGCATTGGAGGAATCAATGAAGATCCAGGCATTGAAGGAATCAGTGAAGATCCAGGCATTGGAGGAATCAATGAATTAATTTGTGAAATTGGTTTCCCTATGTACTTGGCAAGAAGTGCAGAAACTTTTTCATGCTGCAAGAAACAATCATGTCAAAGCATAATAAGAATTGTAACAGCTTGTTTTGTATAAATAGAATAAATTTTATGAAATTCATTTGAAAATAACTATATATATCTAATGTTCGGTTATAGATATGAAATTCTAGCATTTATTTGATAGACTAATGAATTTATAATACAATTTAATCAAATGTATTTCTAATATAAACATTTCATTGATAAGAAAGTATTTGATTATGTTACTTAAATTTCATTTTGGGTTATGAAAATGTCAACGTTGGATTCAAAAAGTTCCTAAATATTTAAATTTGACTGGAATCTATAAAAAATTTTGAAGGCTTTCAAATATCTTTAGAACATGTGTCATTTTAAATATATCTACACTGTTTGATATCTGATCAAATCCTAAATTTAATAATAAACTCAAGAATCCAAATGCAACATTTGGATATAAACTTGACCTTATACGAAGAGTAACACTATTATCACAGTAGTATTTGTTAAAATTAAAGCAATCCATTTATTAAAATAAAATATTGACTATTTTCCCCTATTCAATTAGAGAGTATTTTTCCATGGGTTTTTCTCACTTTGCACTTAATGCAGATTTCCATAACCATCATCACCACCATCCATCCCTTGCACCATGTTTGATTCAATCAAAGCAACCAACTGTACATGTAGATATGCACTACCCATGGTGTGTGTGAGCATACGTGCATGCATGCACGCACGCCATGCGTATTATGTATCTAATGGCTGATAAGCTTGTCCTAATATAAGATCGAGCTTATATTGCTTTCATATAATTAGTTATAATTCATAATCGAAACGTTATGGATTTGACTTTGAGTAAAACTAATTGAGTTTCTAAATGAATAATTAGCACATGTTTACGAGTCACTCATTTAGTTTATCCAAACACTATGTAACAGACTTAAATTTATATGCCTATAAGTGCAATATATAAATGAACATGCTTTCTCTAAATTGTCATGATTTTGATGAAAAGGATTATCCTGTCTCTGTATCATGTGTGTTTGTTCTGTCGGAAAAAAAGAAAAAACAAGAAAAATTAAATCTTATAGTAAGAAAGAAAAACTAGCCTCTTCTTTGAGATGAGCATTTTCCAGCTGAAGTTTCTGCAGACTATGTTGACGTTCTTCTTCTCCAAAAGGAGGACCTCCACAAGATGGGCAAATCACATTCTTCAATGCCTCTCTAATTGCAAGGTTTTCACATTGAATTCTTTCATTTTCGGCTCGAAGAACCGAATTGTCTGCCCTCTCATTTTGAGACTGAGAAAACGTCATTATTATTATTATTATGATTATGGAGCAAAAACAATTGAAAAATAATATTATTACATCTATACCTTTGTCTGAGTCCTTTTGTTTTGAAACCAGAATTTGATTTGTTTAGTCTCAAGCCCTAACTCTTTGCTTAATTGACGCCTTTGATTTTCATCTGGATGTGGGCATTCCTTGAAAAAACTTTATAATATAAATAAAAAAGAGAATTTAATTAATTAAATAATTCATTTCCATCAGCCTTTTCAAAAAAAAAAAAAAAAAAAAAAAAAAGTGTGGGCATTCCTTGAAAAAGAACTTATAATATAAATAAAAAAGAGAATTTAAATTAATTAAATAATCATTTCCATCAGCCTTGCTTTCCAAAAAAAAAGAAAAAAAAAAAAAACATTAACTGTTGAATTGATTAACACTGGTTAAATAAAGCAAACAAAATCTATATGCTATGTTAAGGTAAATCACATAGACATCAAAGCTTTATAAATTAAGGATGGTTAATAAATTATAAAAGAACTATAAATAAATTAATACATTAATAGAACCAAATGTAGATGGACATGAAATGAAGTTTTAATTTAGTTGATATATGACACTTCTATTGTTGGAGACTGCCACCAACCCCTTTTTTCCAAAAAAAAAAAAAAAAAAAAAAAGGAATCCAAAATTAATAAAACACAAAGAACAAAAAGACACCAAACACATATAAATTAAGGTAGCTTGATGGATAGAAATATCAAAAGAATTATGAATGGAAAAAAAAAAGATATATATGCATAATAATTAAGTCCATATAGCAAAGGTGACTTCAATTTACTGATAAGCCAAACAGCACAAACAAAGGAAGCCAAAAAATTAGTACAACACAAAGAATGAAAAGACACTATGGATATATAAATCAAGGAGGGTTATGTTTAAATTATGATAAAAATCGAAATGAATTAATAGACTTATTGCAGCAAATGTGGTTTGATCAAAAGACAAGAATTACATATGAGAATAAAAGGTGTGAATAATAATTAAGTCGACATAACAACAAACATGACTTCAATTTGCTAATAAGCTAAAGAAAACGACAAAATTGAAGTCAATTCAGTTGATAGATACGTCATATATTTGAAATTCCCGCGAAATCCTTTTTTGAAAGAAAAGAAAGCCAAAGATTAATAACACATAAAGAACTAAAAGACACTATACACATAAATTAAGAAGGTTATACTTAATTATAATAAACTACAAATAAATTAATGCACTAAATCAAGAAAAGGCAGGCTTGATCAAAAGGATTACTAATGGAAAATAAAAGATATGGATTAAATCAACATAATAAAAAACATGACTTGGATTTGCCGACAAGCTAAAGAAAACGACAAGATCGAAGTAAATTCGATCTATTAATATGTCATATATTCATGATGTCAGATGTCGGCCCAAAACCCTTTTCCCAAAAAAAATAAAGTCAAAAATTAATAAAATTCAAAGAAACCCTTTTTCCAAAGAAAATGAAGCCAAAAATTAATAAAATTCCAAGAAAAAAAGAAATTCAGCCAAGATCCACAATCATCAATAAATGAAAAAAAAAAAAGAAAAAAGAATTAACATAATATATATATCCATAAAAAATCATTGCATAAATGAAAAAAAAAAAGAAAAAAAATTAACATAAAATAAGTATATATATATATTATATATATATATATATATAAAAATAAGAAAAAGGGAGAATCTTATATACGCTTCAAGCTGTTGTATTTGGCGATTAGTATGGCGATGATATGTTTTCTTTCCCTTTCTATTGTTATTAGAAGCTTCTTGTTCATCGCCGGAAGCACCACCACCACCACTACCACTAACAATAGACAAATCCATTTTCTCTTTCACTACTCTCTAATAAAACTCTCTTATCATACAAATAAATCTTTGGTAGGTATTAATATTTATATATGACAAACATTGTATAGATATGCTTGGCGTGAACATTTATGACTATATATGAGCTTATTTACATATATAGCTTCAAGGGTAAATCCCAAATAAGGACACAAAATGAACACAAAATCAAAACAAATGAAGAGAGGTCTGAATGTGGGTTTTCACAATTTTGGGCTATTATCGACTTTAGATTCTCTCCCTTTTTTATTTTCTTTTCTTTTTTTTTTTTTTAAATTTTCAGTGACAATAAATATATACAGTTATGGCTTTTAACATTTTCCTTTTCACTGCAATACACGTAACAGCTAAAACTCTGTACCTCAGCGAAAGTCATGGTCAATGAGATTTGCTTTGCATAAAAGCTACCAAATATGGGAAAAAGATATTAATATGGCAGCTTTCATATTTACTTTTTTTCAAATATGTCTTTAGCGAATATTTTAGGTAATCAAATAGATATTATTAAAGCAGGTGCTTAATAGTCTTCTCACTTTTATAGGAGAGAGAAGTCTCGAGTTTGAGATTTTTTTACCAAAAGAGTTATCATTAATTTTGTGAGTAAAGAGAAATGTTATCCCTGTTGTTAACCTTTTCCGCCCGTTAGATCTTCCAATAAATAAAAATTAAAATAGGTACTTAATGCCCTTTTTTATGAAAAATAATATTTTCTTTCTTAAAAATAACTTTCACAAGCTGTTTTTCAAACTTTAAAAACCTCATCATCAAAATATATAATATATATATTATAATATATATATAATATACTATATATATATATATATATATATTATTATATAATATATATATAGCTATATATAGCAAACATGACATGTGACATTATAAGTCTCCATTGGTCATTTGTGCTTCCTTTATTTATTGTCATATAATTATTATTTTCAATTAGTTCTCATTGCCTAATATATTATTTCACCCTCGAATTTTCAACTAGTTGCAATTCTACAATAAATCCACCTTTGTATCATTCATACACTAATGATCACCTTCAGTTGCAATAACACCCCAAATGCAATATAGGATTAACATTAAAAATTAAAAACAATCCATTTTTGCCTTTCTACTAATCTCTGCTCCTCTAGCTATGCTTGATGGAGATCAAATCCATACTCACCAGATGAGAACCATAGCAGAGTGTTGGGGTCCCGGCAATAAAATTACGAGAATAATAACACAGCGGAAAAATTAAAATATGACACAGATATTTACGTGGTTCACCCTTTAACTGTTAGGGCTACGTCCACGGGACAAAAAACCGAATAATTCTTCTACTATTAAAAAATAATAGGCTTACAAAGAGAGTAATACAAAATAGTGACACTCAAAAGTGTTTCTGTTTCCCAAAAACACCTCATAATAATTTTTTCACTATTTTCTCTCCCTTAGTTTTAGGAAACCCTTCCTAAAACTAGATAACTAACTCGCTACATTTTTTCTCTTTGTTCTGTGTGTATTGAGATGGCTGAGCCATCTCCTATTTATAGGAGAGGGTGGACGCGTTAATTACGCGTCCACCGAATCCTAACGCGTCCACCGAAAATAAATTTTCCTCTTCCTTTTTCAACTACGTGTGGGTCCTACCACGTTTTCCATTTCTTTTTTTTTTTCAAATGTGGATCCCATTTGAGTGGGCACCGCACAACAATTTAATTGTCCATAATCCATATTAGTCTTTAATTCTAATTCATATGTACCATAATGAAATGACATATTATTTCAAGTTTCAACTATTTTAAGATGTAACACGAATAATCAAGTCGATCAAATTTTAATTTTTATGCTTGTGTTTTGCCTTATATATATACTTGAAATACTTATGCTCAAATCAGTTATCATTAAATATTTAAACTAATCGACTTATTATCTATTAATATTAAAATAAAGTTTGAATAAAATTTAACTGTAAATTTTAGTTAATTTAATATATTTAAAATCTAAACACTCAGTTGTAATTTTAGAACCATAGAAATTATTTTAGTAGTAATTATTTTTTTAGTTATTACAATTATTAGATGTATATAAATTGTTCTATACTGAATTTATGGGTAAGAGTTTTAGTCGTGTAGGGTCAAACCAACGAGAAATTATACATATAAATCTTGGGAAGAAAACAAATTAGGATTACCTGGCTGAGATTAAAAAAATAAAACCCTAAGATTCATGATTCAATCATTTATTTATATTAATTTTAGAGAAGGATTAGTTGTCGTCATCCATAGTAGGTATAAGATTTTTAATTAAGTAGTTAATTAATTACCTGCATTTGATCGCCGGCATTGACAACAAAAGCGTGAGGAATGATGGGAACTCTATGCCATTGATCATCTTTGAACATTTGAAGACCTTCTACTTCTTTATCTTGTAAAAGAAACGTTATTGCTGATCCATCTGAATGTGCTTTAACACCAAGAACTGAGTCTGGTCTTGGACATGTAGGATAGTAATTAAATCTAGCTACTAACTGGTTCGCATTGCCTCATGTTTGGAAAATCCTGCTGGAGAACTATCTCGATATATTTTCTTTGAGACAGCACAACTTTTCTTCTTTTTCCTATTCTGGAGATTCTTCATTCCCAGTATCTGTTTTGCGATCCCAAATCCTTCGATGGGCAAGGATTCAAGTTCCTTTTCAAGCTCTCATTTTTCGTTTGGCATCTGGCCCACAATAAAGCATATCATTTCCACATTATTAACAAGAGAATAATTTAAGTCGCCTATCTGTGCAACTTTTTCACAAAATACACAATGATCAGAAGTAAGTGTTTCTCATACGCGTGATTTCACCATGAAAGAGTCAAAACTTTTTGTACACTGCCTGGGAGCTTGTTAGGCCATACAAGCTTTTTCTGCAATTTACACACCAAGGTTCTTTGGGCCCTTTGAACTCTGAACCCTTTTTCTGGTTGCTCCATATTAAATTTCCTCCTCTAAGTCACCAGAGGAAAGCCAGTCTTTACGTCAAGTTGCGTCGATCTCCAAATTTCAGGGCTAGCTGCCTAATCAAGCACAACGCTGATAGAAAGACATTCTTGACTACGGGTGAGAAAATTTCTTCAAGTTCAACTCCCTTCTTCTTGACCAAATCCCTTCAACAACCGTCTTCGCCTTTAAACCTTGGCTGTGAGTTGTTCTGTTCAGTTCTTCAACCTGAAACACCCATTTGTTTCTTCATGCCTTCTACCCTTTGAGGCGTTTCCCCAAACTCATAATGTTCTGGTTCTCAGTGCAAGGACTCCATCTTCATCTTGCATGCTTTCAACACTCATTCTTTTTTACAATTCTTCCATTGCTCCTGTTAGTTTCTCTGGGGTTCTCCCCCTTGAGTCAATAAGTACCATGACTTCATTAGAGGAATATCTTCTGGGAAGGTATTCTTGCCTCTCACAGATCTCTCAAATTAGGGCAATTCTTCTATTGGAGCTGGTTTCAGGCATCATTTCTGAACAGGTTCGATCATCATCTTCTTCATTCATTTTGTGGTTTCTATATGAGGTTCTGCATCAAGACTAACAGGAAACTCACTTGATAGGACTTTGGCTTTTCATTTTTCTTCAAAGTCTTCCAATGGTTTTGGTTCTTCCATCTTCCAGGAATACTACATCTCTACTTCTGATGAGCTTCTTTTCAACTGGATCCCATAATCTGTACCCAAAATCATCATTTCCATAACCCAAGAAGATACACTGTTTTGACTTCGAATCAAGCTTATATCTTTCATCTTTTGGAATATGAACAAAAGCCCTGCAGCCAAATATTCCAAGATGATCGTAAGAAATATTTTTCCCTGACCACACCTTTTCTGGTACATCTCCTTTGAGGGAGGTTGAAGGTGAAAGGTTGATCAAGTAAACTGCAGTATTCATTACTTCAGCCCAAAAGGTTTTCGAAAGTTTAGCATGAGAGAGCATACATCTAACCCTTTCAACAATGGTTCTGTTCATTCTCTCTGCAACTCCATTCTGTTGTGGAGTTTTGGGGACTGTCTTCTGATGTCTGATGCCGTGTTCTGAGCAATACTTCTCAAATGGACTCTCAAATCATTGACAAATGGACCTCTGTACTCACCACCATTATCAGCTCTAACACATTTTAGCTTTCTTCCCGTTTGTCTTTCAACACTGACATGGAAGACTTTAAACATATCCAACACCTGGTCTTTTGACTTTATTGGAAAAGCCCACATTTTTCTAGAATGATCATCAATAAAGCTAACATAATATGAGCAACCACTCAAGGATTTGTCACCCATTGAGCAAATATCAGTGTGTACCAATTCTAGAATACCAGGTTTTCTAGATGGAGAAGGAGATCTTTGAAAGAAAACTCTATGTTGTTTACCAGACAAACAATCAGTGCATATTTTCAGAGGCAAACCTTTCAAAGATAGCATTTTCTTCTTGGTGAGAGTCTCCATTTCTATCTTCTCACTCAAATGCCCAAGTCGTTTATGCCATAATTCTCAGCACGATGATTCTTCAACTGCATTTCACTACTCCTGTGGCAAACTTTTGCCTGGGTGTAGTAGAGGGTGTTGAACTTTCTTCCTCGACCGAACACCAAGTTACCTTTGGAAAGCTTCCACGTTCTGTTAACAAACAGATTTGCATATCCCAATTCATCAAGACAATGAACTGAGATCAGATTGAAGTTTGCTGTAGGAGTGTATCTTACATCTTCCAACCAGAGATCATAACCAGCATTGGTTTTGATGCATACTGTTCCAATGCCGCAATTTTCCACATAAGTGCCATTCAAAGTCTTGACATGGCCGTAATCTCCGAGGGTAAGTGAAGAGAAATATTCCTTCTTTGAAGAAATATGATAAGAACATGCAGAGTCAATAATCCATAGAGATTGTTGACTAGTGGAACACTCACTGAGACCAGCATGAGAAATCAGCGCACTACCATCACCAAGTGCGTCACTTTCCATTCACCAAGTGCATTTCAGGCATTCAATAAGCTACTGAAGCTACCTCCGTATCGTTCTTTTC